TTTAATACGTGATTTACGTGTCCACTATATGAAAATCTCATTGTACCACCGAAATTTAAACTCCCTTATCTCTTATTCTCCATTTTTTTTCCCCCAATTCGCTTAGTAAATCAAAATTTCGTTGGCAAGTATGAGAAGTACATGTACCCCGCCGACGGTCCTAGCCATTCCACCAGCAAATTAGTAACGAGATTTTATGGGGGAAAAGCTCTCTTATCTGCCGAGGTGGCGCCATTTCATTGGATATCTTGGATTTTCTAGGCTGAGTTGGCATGTCCTTTTATTACCGAATTAGATTATCACGTTCACGTGTATCTAGTCTAGTCTAGTCTATAAAAGAAAAGAGACAGAATTTTGGTATTTGGGGATTTTGGACACGACCAGAGAAGAGCACATCAATGATTTGGTCGTCTTTTGCCCATTTTTTGCGTGTCATTTGGCTATCAAACGTTGTCTTGATTTCCTTCCTTGCCTCCCTGATTGTCTGAAATTTGATAGCCCTTAAAACTGGATAACCTTTTTCAGGGCTTTTACAATTCATTTTTTAGTATATCAAAAAAAGAAAGTTAACTGATATTACAAATATTAAAATTTTTTATCTACACCAATAATCCTTTTTATATAGGCATCAATTTTTTCGCCTTTCATTTCTGCACGTATGAAGGGTGCTGAATAAACTTACAGCTCCAGTGGCCAACCATTCCTGTGTCTTAGGTGGTCACCTTTTTTTTTTTTAAAGTGATGCATTCCTAGTGATGTGGTATTCAAGTTTCAGATTTGACACTCCTCTATAATAAATACTAATATTATTAGTATAATTACCATTAAAAAAAAAAAAAAAAACTTACAGCTCCAGTCCAGTGAACATGTACATTAGGCATTTCCCTTACAAGTCCAACCCAAATACCCAATTTGCTAAGTCGATTTCTAGAACTACCACTATGGACTTTTTACATGTAGCAATCCAGCAAGCAGGCCCGAGACCATCCAAGCAAGACCTGTTCGAGCCATTTTTCCAGTCCTGGGCCTGAAACCATATAGGACTGCAACAGTACTTATCGGGCCCGGGACGGCCTTTTTGGCGCAGAGCAACATAAAAATCTACTAAATTTAGCCGTAGAAACAGCGCCCGTTATCTTCTTCCCATGGTCGACAACGAAGAAAAGATAAGAAAATGCCTACTTTGAATCTGTACACAAACGTGCCGGTCGACGCCGTCACCACCTCCGACATCCTCAAGGATGCCACTAAAGCTGTTGCCAAGACCATCGGCAAACCCGAATCTGTTAGCTCCTCCTCTTTCGTCTTCTGCTTCTTTAATGTTCACCAACTATTCGACGAAATTCTTCGCTTCAATGAACGTCATAAAACTGATTTCTTTTTTTTTTTTTTTTGGTATCAATTTGTTTGTTCTCAGTATGTAATGATTTTGCTGAATGGTGGAGTACCCATTGCGTTTGCTGGCACGGAAGGTCCAGCTGCATATGGGGAACTGATTTCCATTGGGGGTCTTGGACCTAGTGTTAATGGAAAGTTGAGCTCAATTATTGCGGATATTCTTCAGACCAAGCTTTCAATTGACAGCTCTCGTTTTTACATCAAATTTTATGATGCACAGGTACGCTAATTGATTTCAAATATTCTGAATTTTGTTTTGGGCTTTGGTTTCCTTTGCAAAATTCATGCCTGCGTTTGACTTAAAATGAGTTGAACAAAGCACTGTTTCAACACATGTCAGTTTCAGTTCAATTTTAGATGTTCTATGTTCAATATGAGCTTGTGCAATTTGGTTGCCTATCATGGTAAATGGCTTCCCAGCTGGACTATCCTATCCGGCTATTTTCTTAAATATTGTGTAGGGGGAATATGTTTTGTTGCAAGCTGACCATTTGTAGTGGTTGAAAATTTGTAAGCAATTAATTGGGTTGGCTTTAGAGAGTTTAGGATTTTATACTTAACTAAGGTTTTTGGTGATCTGTTGTGTGGCTTGGAGAAGTGACGCGCCAGAAATTGGTGAAAATACAGACAGTGAGGGGGTTAAATTAAAGATATATGAGGGGACATCAAAATAAACACATTTAGGATGTTATCCTTCTAGTTTTCTTGAATGCAAAGCATTGCAACCAATTGATTGGCATAGTAACTCAAAGCTGGAACTTGACAAGGCAGTTGCATTATCCACTCTAACTGCAAGCTGATCAATCTCTGCAGATACTAGGACCCAGGAGAACCATACATAACACACACATGTAGCCTTGATGATAATTATTTCAAGATAGAAATGCATATATGTTAATTAGATACAATGCAGTTTAAGGTACAAAAAACAAGTCAAATTTGTTCATGCATGTCTGCCTTGTCTATTGATGCATTAAAGCAATTGTGTGTGAGTTTGTGTGCATATGCTACTCTAAGACAGTGTACTATATTGTATAGAATTCATGTAATTGTTTTCTATGTTGTATTAGATCATATATGGAATGTACAACCTCCCATTTTGATTCATTTTACTTCTTTAAGAATTCAAGCACGAAAGAAATTATCACTGTTGGTTACATTTTATTTTTCACGTTTCTGTTATTCGGTAACTTATATTCTTTTTCATGTTTTTTCTTGGTCCAGCGCTCATTCTTTGGGTTCAATGGTTCAACTTTCTGACAAGCTGTATTTTCGTGTTGTACATCATTGTAAAGCATTGCTGGTAGTTCATGTACCAGGGCTGGATGATGGGCTCTATTTGATCTATTATGAATTTTCTTCCTTCCGGACATTACCTCTATATCTGATTCTTACCATGTTATTATATCAGTTTAATGGAGTTTGGATTTAGACATCACAATAATTTAAATCAAATGTCTTCTTTTAAGAAGGTATTGCAATTTTTATTAACCGAATTGGGTAATTGTTAGTTTTTTTGGGTTAACTTTGACGGAAAACTTTTATGGAGGATGGAGGAGAGAAAACAAAAGGGTTTGGGTAAAATTGTGAAAACAATAAATAAGATTAGTGAGTAAATCGTAATGCGCCCAGAAGATCAGGGACGATTGATGAATTTATCTGCAAAAACTGATTAGTCCTGTTTTCCTCTTCTCTCAGGCTAGTATCCCTTTTTCCTACTCTTCCTCAACCTAAGCCTTATTTTTTAAAAAATTATTTAATAAATAAAAACACCATGTTTGCTAACCTTTATTTTTATCTATCAAAACAAAATCAACGTCAATTATTTTCTTTCCTCCACTTCTCTTTTCTTTTTTCTTTCCTTTTCCTTCTCCTGCCTTCCTCACCCTGTATTAATTTTTATCCAAACAATCATTGAAAGTTTTCAAAACCCCTCTCCCTTTTCTCGTCACTTCCTCAACTCATATCTCGAAACCCTCAATAGGCTGTCTCCAATATCCCATCTTTTCTTCCTAATCAAATCGGAAAAGGGTTTTTCAATTCAAGCCTCCAATCAATCCCGAAGAAGAAGAAGAAGATGATGATAATGATGAAAATGATGAAAAGAAGAAGCTGCAAAGAATCAGAATCCTTAGCACAGGGTTCTTCTGTCACTTCCTTTTTTTATCGAGTATTCCTCCGCCCAAGAATTCGGTGACTTTGGGTGCTCTTTCTTCTTCACGTTCGGGCTGAAAATCCATTATTGGAACAGAAGCGTCTGCGTCAAATTCAAGCGCCTTTAAAGCAGGGAATGAACCAGGTACTGATCACACAAGGCGGTATATTATGAAAGTACTGATCAGAATTCAGAGAACAACTATAGTTGTGGAAATTATGAGTCTAGCATTGACCAAAATGCAGGCAACGTTTCTGATAATAGGGATCACGGAAATTATGAATCAGGTTTTTATCAAACTGTAGGAATGTATGCAGATTATGGTTATGGAAGCTATCAGTCAAGTACTGACCAAAATGGTGGCAGCAAAGATTCTTCTAGCTATGGAAGCTATGAGAGTTACTATGGGCAATATGAGAATAACTGGGTTGATGGGTCAGCAACCATTGTACCAGACACCACAGGGGTGAGTGACATTGGGGGTGCAAGTACCAAAAAAGAGGGGGCGAGGAATGAGTTGCCAACAGAAATCTTTGAGGTGGAGCAGTGTATGAGTTGATGAAGGACAGACCAAGAGAGGAACAGGTCAAGTTGACTGGAATTGCTTTTGGGCCTTCTTACCAGGTATTAAACCAAAAGCTTTTTGATTCATCTGTTTGCTCTTTTACTCTTATCAAATGAATTTGAGCACTGCCTTCATTTGCTTTTTCCATGTTCTTTACAACATATGCCTCATGCTGTCACTCGATCCAATGTGTTCTATTTCTTTAATTTTGTGTAGTTGAATTAGTAAGGATTTGAGATTAACCTTATTCCAAAAAGTTGTCCTTTATGAGCTTATTTTTATCCTAATTAATTCTTTCGTTATCGTACATGATTTGAGTTCCACCAAATTAAGTTTGCAAAATGTGAAGTTGTAAAATTCTTTAATGTCTGCAATTAGAACAGGGAGAGATATTGCTACGTTATTGTTCTGGCTTTTACTTTTAATAAGAAATGCAAACTGGGTTTGAATAGATGAGTTATTGTTTGTCTCTATGAAAGCATGTTTGGCTATTAAAGATAGGTGCTATTACAAATCAATCTTGTGGCAAATGTCCTGGCCGGTTTAGAAAAACCTTTTGATGTTATTTTGGGTATGGGCATTGGTGAGGTCAGTAGCTAAAATTTATATTTCACTGTGAAAACAACTGACAGTAATTTAGTAACCATAGGTTTTCCTTGTTCAGAAATATTTTTTTAATTATTTGGGTCATTGGGTGAAGAAACCATAGCTTGAAGTGTGGATTAATTAGCATATCAGTATCAATTCAGTAGCGCAGGTCAGTAAGGTTGAAGGTTGGAAACTAGATTAGATGATTCCCTTCTTTTTTTTTTTTACATGGGG